CCCATTCCAAAGGGTCTGTAAGGTGATGATTCATGTAGCCACTCCTTCAGCAGACATTAATTGAGCATCAGCTGTATGCCAGGCACTGTGCCAGGTGCTGGGACTACAAATAAGACTAGTTTCCTGACCCTCCTGGAGATTAGGATTTGGAATTAACTATGGAGGACATGATGGAGATAGAGTGTGTTTTGCCAGGGCATTGATTTAGTGAAAACCTTTTTTTTTGAATAGTAACTGTGAACATTGCATAGAAATTGGAGAAAGGGAAAAAATCAAAGGAAGAAAGAAAACTGGCCATAATCTGGCCAGTCATAACCACTATTAACATTTTGGAAGTGTTCTTCTACTTCACTTATCTGTCTAAATAACACTGTAAACAAAATGGGATCCAATGTGGGAGACCCGCAACTCAGGAAACCAAAGCACTGGGATCGCAGCCTCTGCTGCCTGCTGGTCTAGGCTGTCTGGTATCTCCTTCTCAGTGATTCTTTGCCTCATGGAGTCTGCTGTTCCTGTTGGCAGGTCAGGGAGTGCAGGAGTGGGAGAAGACCAGATGGCCACATCTCCTTCCTTTCTTTCTATATCCTCTCGCTAATTATGGACTTGGCTGTCTACTTACAAACTCACTGGTCTTGGGCTGCAGGTGGTGCTTGTAGCTCTCGATTTATTGGGATACATGGGGAAGAACAGCTTACCTGGCACTTGCAGGCACACCTGTCCACTGGTTGGGGGGTTGGGGGTAGGAGGTGTGTGTGAGCTTGGAAAATCCTGTGATTGGATTTGAGTCAGCTATTTTTTTTTCAACAGCAGCATAAAATATTCAGTGAACATTAAATAATCGTAATTAAGAATCTGGACACCATTTTTATTACAACTTGTATTTTAAAGGTGAGGCAAAATAAACACTGGCAAGGTAAATGGCTTCTGTGACCATGCACTGGCAGTTTGGGAATTCTCAGGCTCCCTAGTGTTTCGGGCTCACTTTTCTCCTGAATTCTCGCCATAGGGGACAGATTCTCTCGGTTCCCAAGGTGGGCTTTTTTGGAAATAGCTTCAGAGGACTAAAGGTGCAAAGACCAGGAAGAGCGTGCTGCTTTACCAGCATCCAGGTCTTCCCCTCATCGTGCCCGTGGGCCGGCTCACTGCCTTCTGTTTATTCGGCGCTCAGTACATTTCCTGTGTGAACTAATGAGTAAATAAATGTATTGCTGAATCAAACCCCTCTCCTGTTACTAGACAGTATGTGTCCTTGTTAACTGCTCTTGTTTTTGTCCTTCCTCAGTTGGAATAAACGACCTCTGGAAAGATGCCTTTTATGTTACCAGGACAACAGGCTCTGAAGGCCATCCAGCAGCCCTGGTGGTCAGCAAGCTTAGTCTACGGTGGGCACTGATGGAGGGCCAGATGGCCCAGCTGCAGGAGTCCACCCCCAAAATTGGCCGTGGGGAGCTGCGAAGATTTCTTTCTAGGATCAAGTTTGTTGAAGCTCCCTACGAGGTGAGTGGCTGCTGAAATGTTGTTACTCTTGAGGGTTTAGGACAAATACTACCAATTCCAGCTTTGTCCTTTACAAGGAGGGAGAATAGGGAGTTTTCTTGAATAGATGAGTATCAAGACAGTTGTTTTGGGCCAACAGTTATTTCCTGTGGATGCCTTCTGACCATGAAGAAATGGTTCTCAGCTGGAAATAATAGCATCTTCCTTAGGGGGCATTTGACAATGTGGGGTCATGGTTTTTATTGTCTCAATGACTGACGGGTGGGTACGACTGGTATTTTCTGGGTTGGGGCTAGTGATGCTGACATCATGCAGGCCTTGCACCAGTTACATGCTCCAAAGAATCATCTTGCTCAAATGCTAACGTTCTCTCCCCACCCCTACTCCCAAGAAACACTATAGTTTAGTTCAAAGTTCCAAAGCTTATCATGGAAACGGACAACGTTTCTGGGCCTTTCTGGAAGGAGAAGATGTTTACAAACTATTGGGACTAAAGAAAAGGGCAGGAAAATAGAGGAATATTCTGACCTTTAGTTTTCCTTCTTTTCTTTTGACATCTCTACCGTGAAAAATAATAAAGTCATTGCTAACTCTTTTTCCACAGATCTAATCTGATGGAATCTTCAGTTGCAGAAGAAGTGAACAGAGTGGATATCCTTTCTACTCTCCTGTCACTGTAGAATCTGTTCTATGGAGAGAGGACTTCTTCATCCTCATTTTACCACCTCCCCGATGGTCGTAAAGCACTTGGGAAGGCATGATGAAGTACTGTGACAACAGCATGATCTATTTGGCTGGGGCGTCTTCTTTACCTTTTCAGTTCCTGCATTAACCCCCCTGTAGGAACTCTGCGTGGACCATTTGGAAATGTGAATCTCTTAAGTATTTTATTTTTTTGGTATGTCTAATTTATGAACTCCTGCTGGGAAAGCCAGTGAAGTCTATGACTAGGAAACATTTTGTTGTATGTTATGCCGTGTGTGTGTAGTTTTTAGTGTTATGGCGAAGTTCTTTTCCAGATATGTCCTAAGCTTCAGGGATCCAGTTTCTTGTCCTTCTGAAATATATCTGGTTTGTTTGGTCACTTTGAGACTTCTAGATGCCCTTCCTCTGATTTTGAGGGCCACTTACTTCTCTTCTTATTCTTTCCCACCTTTACCTTAGCTACTTCCATGCTGTAGACAGAGTGAGAAAGATTTGTAGTGGAAGACTGAGTTACCCATCACAGCATTTTCATCTCTTCTAATATCCTGTTTCCTTAGATTTTTCCATCCAGTGTCTATTAAGTGGCCGCAAGAATAACCATATTCCTATCACAAGGGGAGCAAGAGGATGTAGTCTCAGTGGCCCACCTCTGACCAAGTCCATATGTTGTGTTACATGTGGTTCTGATGGCTCTGCCAGTCACGATTTTTTTCTGTGGCGACATCAGAAGTGTATGTGTGCATGCTGTCTTCAACTTAGAGAAGAACCGGAAGTCAGGAGCCTTTGATGTCCTTATCCTGCTGTATCTCTTCCCTGCATCTTTTTTATGGGGCACCCTCCATAGCTCCTCTCACTCTGCTTTCTCTTCTATTCAGGGATATGTTTCTGGACTTTCGCTTCTTCCACCTGAGTCCAGGATACAGCCGTTTTCTCCTGCATTTCTCCTTTCCTGTAGAGCCTTTGAAGCATTGTATTTTGGGAAAATTCTTCTGTAAATACTATGACTTTTATAAATGGTTATTTAGAATTATCTCCAGTGCTTACTTCTCCCTTCTTCTGTATAAATCTGTTACTTCAATTAAGTTCTCCTCTGAACTTTTAGGTCATGTTTATATAGCCGAAAATTCAATGTTAACGGGCAGAAAACTGCTTCTTAAATAACCTGATAGGTCATCCCTGAGTGCAACTCAGGTTCTGTCTTTACCTGGGCTTGCATCTTATTTTTTTTTTTGAGACGGAGTTTTGCTCTCGTCTGTCAGGCTGGAGTGCGATGGTGCGATCTTGGCTCACTGCAACCTCCGCCTCCTGGGTTCAAGTGATTCTCCAGCTTCAGCCTCCTGAGTAGCTGGGACTATAGGCGTCTGCCACCGCGGTTGGCTAATTTTTTTTTTTTTTTGTACTGTTAGTAGAGACAGGGTTTCATCATGTTGGCCAGGCTGGTTACCAACTCTTGACCTCAGATGATCTGGCCCAGGCCTCCCAAAATGCAGGGATTACAGACGTGAGCCATTGCACCTGGGCGAGCTTGTATCTTTTAACTTGTGTTAGTAAAGGGATTCTGGAAAATTATGAAGTTCAGATTTAAAGGGATATCTGTTAATTACCCACTGACAGGCATTATGACATAACAGGAGGTTGGTAGCAATAGATCCAACAGGCGTGTTGCCTGGGCTGCAGATTGGCCTTAATAGGTTTCTGGGTGCCTCTGCCTTAAGATCCTTAAGAGAGAGGCACCTCTTAAACTGTGTTTAACAGTTTGGAAGTCATCTTGTGGGTCCAGCTTGACTTTGGGGGATGAAGAAGATACCCTAGAGTATGGGAATGATTCCAGATAATTTTGAGGATTTGAATCCGCTTGAGTATAAGGGCCTGGGACCTAGTTTGGTTTAGTATAGAATTTTCAGGATTAATTTATAGGCAGCTGAACGCCCAAAACTTGGATGGTGGTCCTGTGGTCTGGCGGGGCTGTCCAGGCATAATCTGGTTCTTTGTCATGTTAAGGCTCTCTGGGAAGCCAGCCACTCTATGCAGGAGTGAAACATGAAGTTGTTAACTGAGGACCTGTTCTGGTGGGATTGTGTGGGCAGAGGACTGTGTTTATACAGAGTAAATACCAGAAAGAGATGAGAGGAAGCTAGAAAAACATAATGTCCCTGAATTCTTCATGGTGTATTTGCAAACTAACTTGACATAGATTCTTTTGACTACAACACGTTTGAATCCCTCCTTCTCCAACAACATTATAAGCTTAGTTTTCTTCTTCCTCTTGCAGCTGGTACAGAAAGGTATAAGTAGTGGCTGAAAATTGAGGAGGCTGCGTCGGACCAATGTGGGTGCTGGTTTCTTGTGAAATGTGTCCCTAAACCTTCTTCTCCTTGCAGGCAGCCACCTACCCAGGTGTCTAAAATAGGAAACGCTCCTTTCTTTCTCTAATCTTATCATGGGGTTGCCGGCAAAGCCAATATGACCACTACTGAGAAATAGTAATACTTCTGCAAATGCCAGGGTCTTCCCCTCTTCCTTCCCTTACAAACCCTCCCTCTTCCTTAGACCCCGTTTTTGCCGTCCCCCAAATGTGTGGCGTGGTGAAACTAATCCCCCTGAATGTGAGTTGCTATCCTTATTGCCCTTACAAAGGAGAGCCAGCCGGTATATTGTCAGGGAGCGCCATTCAAAATGTGAACTGTTATAGAGTGAATAAATACATACTCTACCGGAATATACTTGTGTGCCATTCTCATTCTTCTTAGCCATCGAGGATGGTTTGTTTCCCCGTATAGAAAAGGGAACGGGCAAGTAGATGGGTGGCATTCTTCATGGAGGAAATAATAACGTACATTTCTCAGAAGGGATGAAAAGGTGGGATCCAGGGAGGAGCCTGTGCCCCCTTGTTCACTGGGAAGCCCCTGGTATGACTGTCCACTGGGGAACCACAGTCCCATCTGAATATCCTTGGTTGGCTGTTTCTAGAAGTGACCTTGACCCTGTGTGCTGTTGGTGCTTTCTTGTGTTAAACCACTCTCCTAAGGGGTCCTGGGTCAATATTTAATAACACATTTACTGGGTACTTACTGTGTGGATGCAGGACACATCCCCAGGCAGTGTGGAAAACCTCTGTGCGACATGGGAAAGCACTCAGGGGTGCTTCTGTCTTCTTGTCTGTGACTTCCAGAACAATTCATGTGTACCATGGAAAGCTGAGCCACAGTCACGCTACCGTTAACTTGGTCACCTCCATTTCTTCAATCTCCAGGGGGATAACTAGATTTATCAGACCTTTAAGGTCAGGAAGTGTATTCTACCCCTCTTTTTATCTCCATGGTTTAGCCCAGAACCTGGTGCAGAAGCTATCAGTAAAGCAGAGGAGGGAATTCTGGATGCGTGAGATATGGGGTGGGTGAAACGAGCTGTAGAGGAAAAGACAGCAGTGGCACCCAGGCATCCCTTAGGACTTAAAGATAACCCTTATTTATAGCCTCTAAAAAACAAGCTCAAGAGACAGGCTTTGGCTTAAGCAGATGTTGATAATCAGTAGACATGTAAGGTGAGGCTCAAGCCTACTCCCCAAACCCACTTAACTCCTAACACTGCTCTTCCTCTACAGATGACCTAACCGCTTCTTTCAGCTCCTGGCTGGCCCCTCGTGGAAATCCCTTGTTCCGCAGCTCCGAGTAGAAGTCGACTCCTTCAGAGACAGAGTGGATGGGCTGATTATGATACTGGTGGTAGCCGGTCATAGGACCCACGGTGGGGCCTGCACGTGACAGCCGCCGAGGGAAACACTGGTGGTGATGCGGTAGGCAGTTCGGGTTTTCCTTGAAGCCCTTACTATGCTTGCACTTGAACTCCAGCACCATCCTGGTGTACATATTGAAGGTGGTGACCGCCGACGCCATGCAGCAGGTGAAGGAAAGCCAGGCCATGCTAGGGACAGACGGCACAAAGTCAGAATAGGACTCTCTTGAGAGAAAAATGTCATGACCTCTTCCTACTAGTGGACTAGCCTAATGCCTTGTAGGGACTTAGGGACTTTCCACCATGTTTCAGGTAAAGAACTGTGAGGAGAGAACTTACTGCTTTCTAAAAAGAGAATGACTCATGTAGTCCTAATATCAGACAAGAAGCTTAATGGATTTGCTTTCATTGAACTGATGAGTTGGTGCCGCGCCCTTTTCTATCTGATGTGCCGTGTGTGTGTGTGTGTGTGTGTGTGTGTCTGTGTGTATTTGGATTCCTATTTCCCAAGCTGCACTGACCCTTATAAAATCTCTTAAGATGCCCCACGCCTGTAGCTCTGCTGTATGCAGTGGATATAACCTGTATGCCCTCCCTCTCCCACCCCAACACATAAACACACACACACACACACACCCTGCCAAAGGTGTCCCCCCACTTGGATGCTGGGAGGAATCATCCCTCTTTATCTTCCTTTGTTTTGAACATAGCAGTCTTAGGGTCAGGGTCCACAAAGTTGAGCCTCTGAGAGTCATTCAGGAAAACATTTACTGCAAATTAGGAGGTATTATATTGGTTGTACCAGTGGAATTTGCTTCATATGAAAACTGTGGTTTTGGCTTAAGGGAGTTCGTAATGGGTGGACAGGAGCTGGAGATTAGGAGAATCTGGATGGATTCAAGAAAGTAAAAGCAGACACTAGAGAACCATATTAAACATATTCTGGAAAACTTGGAAAGTCGGATCCCTAAGTCTCCCTGTGGTTCTGGGAAGCTCAGGAAACAGACAGTTTTGAGAGGTTAGGTGGGGATTCCATGAGGACAAGTGATGCTTAAAGCCAGGCCGCATGCAAGCACTGTGTGTTCCTATCTGCTGCCTCTGACAAAGGCAGTAGGTTCAGTCTGCGATGCTTCTGGGAGTTGATTGATGGGTGTTGCCTAGCCTGAGCTCTATAGCTGTAACACCAAGAACAGCCTGAAGACAGTCAACAGGTGAGAAATGCTGGATCTGGGAACTGCACTGAGCTGATGCCCTGGCTGGTGGGGTAGACCCAAGACTCCCAAATCAATAGCACAAGATTGTACCACGGGAAAGTGGATAGGACCTCGCAGCAGATGTGCAGGCTTCCTTCTCTGAATGGAAACTTGAGCCCATCACTGTGTCTTTTCAGTGCGCTCAGAGTACTTAGCACTTATCTCAGGCAGTAAATATCAGTACAGGCTGGCAAGTTGCCGTGAGTAAAGAGTGCTCCTTGAGGGAGAAAGTAAAGAGCTCTCAAAGATAATGTTTAATTTGAATGTGTTGCGTTGTGATGGTTGCTGTGGCTCTTTTTAAGAGAAATCTAAAATGACCCCGTAGTTCTTTAAGGGTTGGAGAATGACTGTGGTAGTGAAGTTTTATTTCCAACACAGTTGGGTAGAATAAGCACAGATACAGGAGGAAGTGAAGAGAGGAGCAAGCCAGTGACAGAGAAGGCAGTTCAATCCAAATTTCAATGTCCTCCAATTCCAAATGTCCTCCAATACCTTGAATTATGTTTAAAAAATACAGCACATTTCCATAAGGCCTACAAAATCAGCCTTGTTTCCCCGGGGTGACATATATACCAGATGAAGAGCCAACTGCCACAGCTGAGGAGCAGGAAAACTGGACAAAACAACATCCTCCCAAGACAAACCCGAGGAATCCTCCCTGTACCCTCTCAGAAGGCAGGGAAGAATGGACGTGTCCTGATGATGCAGCCCTGTGTGTGGTTGACAGACTCCTGGGATGTAGGATGAGGAGAAGGCAGGGCGACACCTAATAAGCATCTAGCTGAGGGTAGAAAATCTTATGAAGTTTGGCTGGACAAGGGCTACAGAGGTTCAGGAGATGGCAGCACTTACTAGAAGGCCCAGCCGTAATTCCAAACATGTGGTCTCCAGTCTTCTGGACCCAAGTTGGCAGTTGCCTGGAAGACTTGTGAATACATCATGTGGGCCACCATTCCCAAGAGACCTAAGGAGGAAACAGGAACGTAGAGCCCTCAGAGAAAGGCTTTCATGCCATCTGTCAGGAGTATCCTTCTCCTTTTGCCGCCAGGCGCAGCCTCTGTTGGAGTGGCCCATTACCCTATGCCGCCACACTTCCCGAAGACTAATCCACAATGGGGGCTTCTCCTTAAATGCGCATATTTGTAATAGGTGACCCAGACTGTAGGCTGAGGGCTGTGGAAAACGTCTCTGAGTCAATGCTACACCCAAGGTCACTGCACCCCACCCCTACTCCTTCCTACCCAAACCCCAGTGTTGGCTTAATTCTTCGTCTTATATATTCATCTCTCACTTGATCCAATGGAGACTGGTCTGAAAAGCTGGGTTGTCACAACTGAAAAGTAACAAACAATAGATTGTACATGTTGAGAAAGCTTGCACGTAAAGGAACCTAGAGGCAAGTCATTTTAAAAGGCACATGATGATCCGATATGCAGTTTCATGTGTCACTTCACTTTAAAATTAAAGATGCCAGGGCTGGGCATGGTGGCTCATGCCTGTAATTCCAGCACTTTGGGAGGCTGAGGCGGGCGGATCACGAGGTCAGAAGTTTCCAACCAGCCTGACCAACATGGTGAAACCCCATCTCTATTAAAAATACAAAAATTAGCTGGGTGTGGTGGTGCATGCCTGTATTCCCAGCTACTCGGGAGGCTGAGGTAGGAGAATAGCTTGAACCCGGGAGGCGGAGGTTGCGGTGAACCGAGATTGCACCATTACACTCCAGCCTGGGCAACAAGAGCGAAACTCCATCTCAAAAAAAAAAGAAAAAATTAAAGATGCCTACTTATTCTCCATTCTTTATATTGCCTTTGGGCTCCTTCTGGGCAAAGACTCATGCCCTCCAGCCAGGGTTTCAGAGGAACTCACCTGACAGGACAGAGGAAACAGCAGCAAAGGCGCTCAGTTTGAGCCCACAGGCAGGGTTCCCAGTGAGTAGCAAGTCCGTTAGTAGCAGGAGGAAGCTGATGACTTGAAGTCCGATGTAGGTGATCTGCGTTCCCAGGGACAACCAAAGGATTTCTGCCAGAAACCAGAGGAAGAGGAATGCTCACCCTGACGCTTAAAAACCTGAACAAGTCGGAGCATAGGATGTCTAGTAGGAGTTAAGGTCCGAGAAGGGGAAAATGAGGCACAGCGGAAAGCAGTGAGGAACATTACTTCATTCCAGCTCTTTAACATCGCTCACAGCTCCCACTCCATAACCAATATGTACTCAAGTACAGCTCAATATATACTGACTGTAAATACTGTTAGGGAGATTTGAGAAGAAGGCATCGCATTTTCATAAATCCTGCAGGGATATAGTGTTACGCTATTTTGTCTCTCTTTTTCCTCATTTAATTTTGGGATGGTTTCCTCCCTCCCTCCCTTCGTCACTCCTTTCCTGTCATTTTACAATCATCATCATCATCATTGGAGGAAAAGGGGAAAAACCTAAGCCTTCCTACATGGTTACTTGGCAGCAGGAGTAGGTTAGCGCTGTCAATGGCTTTCTGTTTGTGAATCTTATTTATCCCTGCTGTTCCGTTTTTGCCTCCCTGCATATAAATGAAAGTCAGCTCAAAGAGGAGTTTGTGTCACCCTGTGGGGCTCAGAAGAGAAAAGTGGAAGATCACAGTGCAGTTTAGATCCAGAGAGGCCCAAGTCTATGGTAACTACTGTAAATTCCTTATCAGACACATACTTGCCACAAAGCCCCAAGGGAGGGTAGGGGAGGGAAGCCTTCTCCATCAACTGCTTCCCTCCAAATCGGAGAGTGGGGTGACATGGGCCTTGCAACGTGGCAAATTCCAGTAGTCCTTTCTCACCTCTCTCGGTTGGTGGTGTGAGTTCAATGAAGCTTCGGCACCTCTCCCCTGAAACATATGGGGTACAACATCATGGAGCTGCTCCCTGGGATGGTTGCAATAAAAGCCTTCCCCACCCCATACCGGGCTCTGCTCCCTCTTCTCTGACAGCACCTGCCCTGCATAGAGCAGGAAAGCAGGACAGAATGCCTGGGTGAATGAACGGCAAGCCAAGAGTCAGCCCAGGTTCATTTCTCTCTCTTCAGTCTCTGATAATGCAGAAGATGTTTCTGCATTATCAGAGGAGGAAGTGAAAACAGGAAATGTTCCCGTTTCCTGTGTCCAGAAGAGTTAATGTTCTTAGCGTAACTTTCGCTTAATACCTTCTGCTGCTGCTGTACCACTGGACGGAAGGGCTCTAAAGTATTTCCAGGACTGGGGATGGAGCAGTGCTAAGTGGTACAATAACAAATACAAATGTAAATACACACTTTTAAAAAACTCCTCTTCCATCTCCCTTTTAGTTCGAATAGGGAGAAGTGGCAGATAACAAATTGTTCCTAATTCTGCACATTAGAGAAACTTCGGTACCAGGTGCTTTCCCCCCAGGCCACAGAGTCACCTTTCCGTACTCTGGGCAGGGAAGAAATATCTTTAGCTCATTCCTGCAAACCTGAGGAACACACATGGACCAGCACCTGCTTGCTTTGCTGGTGAGCACCGATGGGCAGGAGACCCGGCAGATCTGGGTCTAGCCAGCCACGATCTAGTTACCACCCTGGCTGCCTTCATTTCCCCTACTTTTAAATGGTAGCAGTAATACGTAGAATGAGAAAACACTTTCGGGCCAGGAAGAGGCTGTAAAGATGATCTACTGTGATGCTTTCATCGCATAAATGAGCAAATCAAGGCTGAAAGAAACGAAGTTCTTTGTATGAGGTCACAGTTGAGCAGAGCTAGGCCTTTCCTACAATATTCCTGTCCCTTCGTTTTGTTTTTAAACAGCGGTTCTAGCTCACTAGACTGGAAAGTCTCATCATGGGAAAGGTCTAAATGAAATTTTTAAGGTTAATTCTATTTTTTTTTTTTTTGAGATGGACTCTCACTTTGTCACGCAGGCTGGAATGCAGTGGTGGGATCTTGGCTCACTGTAACCGCTACGTCCTGGGTTCAAGCAATTCTCCTGCCTCAGCCTCCTGAGTAGCTGGGATTACAGGTGCACACCACCACACCCGGCTGATTGTATTTTTAGTAGAGATGGGGTTTCAACCCTGTTAGCCAGGATGGTCTCGATCTCTTGACCTTGTGATTTGCCCACCTCAGCCTCCCAAAGTGCTGGGATTACAGGCGTGAGCTACAGTGCCTGGCTGGTTAATGCTATTTTTGACATGCTGTTTTGAACCAACAAGTCTACTAGAGAGGGAGGAAGTGAAAAGCCAGAAGACTTTCAACCTCATGAAAGGGCACTAGACAGAGGTGGAAGGTTCTGTGCTGGGAGGGGGGTGAGGCCCACTAGGGTGTGGCAGTGCTGCGCTTCCCAGGGCGGCCCCAGCTCCAAGTGGGCCTACATGGTTTCCATGCCTGCATTAGATCCCTTGCCCACCCTGACCCCATTGCTCTTCCATCCCAGAATGTAGGCTACCTGGTTCTTCCACAATTTCCTCACAGGATAACCACATGCCACTCCGGAAGCTCCGGAAGGAGAAGCGGTCATCCCCGGTCTCCCAGTTGTATTGTACCACCTCCTGGGTGGATGTGTTGGCGACATCTCCATCCAGGGACACTGGCATGTCAAAGCACTTGGCTGCCAGATCTTTCTCGCACAGGGGCTTGGGCACCTTCTGTGTTCCCACAAACCAGTAGTTGCTGAACAGGGATATTGTCGAGAAGCTGAGTGATAGCATGCTGAGGATGGCAGATAGGCGTGTCCGCTGGCTAGAGAAGGCCTTCGCGAGCTCCATCTGTAATAGACAAGCACAAGTGGAAAGGAGGGAGCTTGACTCAGAGCCGCCTCGGAGATGTGGCCATGCTTCCCTGCACTCCCTCGGCTCAAGCCATACTCCTCCAAGGCAGATAGACACAACCCACCTCTGACAGTTTTCTCCAGGGGCCGCATGGGAGCCTGGCTTTAGGAGTGGTCTGGAGCAAGCACCTGGAGAGTCTCAGAAAACCAGACCCCAAAATGGGGGCCTCAGAAGCAGGTGTCTCTGACCTCCTGTCCTCCTGTCTCAGTCCCACTCTTTCGAGGCTAGCTACAGAAACAAGAATCTCTCTTCCTCAAGGTGGATCATAGAACCCAGAGCCCCCTTCCCCAGAGGCAGCCATAAAACCTAAAAATATGACTTGAACTTTCCCCTGCCTTTCTGTGTATAAATTGGCCCTAAATAAGTTATACGACTTGTTTGACTGTAGGTCAAAAGACTCCCATTCTAGAGAGGGTCCTGCACACTCAGAGAGGCCAAGAAGAATCTAGACAGACAGGCCTTGCTGGGTTTCCTCACTCAGTCTATTAACGCTATTAGATCTAATAATAATTAGATCTGTTATTAGATGCAGTGGCTCACACCTGTAATCCTAGTGCCGTAATCCCTTCTGGAGGTGGGAGGATCGCTTGAGTTCAGGAAGTCATGACTAGCCTGGGTATCATAGTAAGACCCTGTCTCCATGAAAAATAAAAAAATTAGCCAGGCATGGTGGTACCTGCCTGTAGTCCTAGCTACTTTTGAGGCTCAGGTGGAAGAATCACTTGAGCCCAGGAGGTCGAGGCTGCAGTGAGCCATGATCATGCCACTGCACTCCAGCCTGGACAACAGAGCTGCTTGTCTCTAAAAATATAAATAAAGATGAATTAAAATAACAGTGGAACGTACCCTTTATGTCCAATCATATTTCTTTGTGACTGTCCATACTTTGTTGGACCTAAGCAAAAAAATGAAGACCCTGCATCTTTGGGTCTTCATTCTGAAGGCTCTCATGTCACATGAAACTACCATCAAATAAACCTGTATGTTTTTTCTCCTATTAATCGGCCTCTTGTTTGTGATTTTCAGTGAAACTTCAGAGGGCAAAGGGAAAGATTTCCCCTGGCCTAAGTTGAACCTGACACAGATCTAACTACAGAAAACAGTGATTTGCATAGATTGACGGGCCGCACGCTGGGCAGGATATGCAGCAATATACAAAGTAGGATAAAGGCGATCCACCAGAGAGGACAAATTAGAATGAGGGGTGCAAAAGTCAGAATGAATTGGATGTGAACATGTTAACATCTTTCATTTCTCCCTCAAATGGTGAGACTGGAATCAACATAGCCTCTAGCTGACAAATCCTAGGGAGGATGTGTGTGTGTGTGTGTGTGTCCCTTTATGGTGAGTGCCATAATGACCCCACCAACAAGAGCAGGAGGATCATTCTGAGTAGCAGTGATGGATCTGCCAACCTGTAGTTCTTGGACCAGCGGATTGAGCAAGAGCCAGTGAAGGCGGATTGCTGCAAATATTGACACTACTGCCGGCCAGGCTCTCTCTACTGAAGTCCTGCCCCTCTGTGGCTCACCCCAAGTCCCAGCTGCTTCAGGGAGGCCCCTAACCAGCAACTTCTGTGGGAAGTGAGGCTTGGACGGGCTTCAAGGACTCTGGTGTATTCCTTCTTAATGGTGCCCTTTTCAAGTTCATTTCTGGCCATGTCTTACTTTCATTCCAAGATTTCAAGCCACCATTAGGTAGCAAAGTGTCTTCGTGATTTTTATCTTTCCCATAGCAACACATTAGCCGCTCAGTACTAAATTGCTCAGTAAATTGAGAATGTTCTGACTAAGCATCAGATAGCAATAATCTCAGAGGTTTGGAAACAATAGTTTATATAAGCCTTTGACTTTATATAAAAATGTATAGTTAATATAGAAATATAAATATATAAACACATAATTATATAATTAGTTGACAAGGCAGTTGATAACTTCTGGAAGAGTTTTGCATAAAGTCTAAACTTCGTAAAAGTGTAGAAAGAAGAATCGGGGTCATTCCACAGGTCCTTTGTGATAATCGTTTTTGGCTTTGTCTCCACTGACAGGTAGTAGTGGAGCACTGACTTGCTGAGGCACTTGCTTTTATAGCAAAGTGAGTTACTGCTGTCCTCTTCCCTGCATTACAGATTCCTCTGAACGGTGTCATAGCAATGAATATTAAACTGAAAACCTCCGGGGGAAGCAGATGGATGCTTTGGGGCCTGGAGGATTAAAGAGGGCAGAACCTCTTGGAGAGGAGATGGGGCTTATGGTTCTGGGAGAGGTAGCCTTATGGTTCTGGGCCCATAAATCGGGCCTAGCTTCCAACCGCTGCCAAAGAGATATCAGAATTTCAAATGTGAGATGGCTGTGTGGTGCCCGTGTAGGCTGGACACCAGATACAGTGTCCACACAGCCATGGGTAGGGTGTCGGCAGCCAAGCCCTTGGTTGGTGGAGAGGAACCTGGAGGGCGGTGTCTTCCAGCCTGGTGTATAAGTGCCTGCCTCACAATGGGGACACGGGGGAGGCTGCCGAAAGAACTGAGGTCCTGGGTGGCTCTGGCTGGAGCCCCTACTCTCTAAGTCATTTTCAGCCTAAGAGAAGAGGGCAGGCAAAAATATGACCAGTGTTAGACTGCCAACTTCGTTGAGTGCTGGCTTGGAGCCAGATTTAATTTGACTTAGAAAAGTAATTTGGCAAGTCTCTCACTTTGTGTTAGAGCAGTTTATGCAGTTACATTAACGCACACTGAACAGAAAAGAAGCCCATGCTTAGTTGCTGACAGACGCTTCTTAAAGTAAACCTTCTTGAGCTTTCCAGGGGATCCTTCATATCAGAATTAATCAGGCTTAAATCTGCTTAGCTAAAGAGCCATAAATAAAACCATAGCTAAATGGACAGGCCCATAAATTTCTCTCCCTTATCACCCCCAGCTTAATGTTTCTACATTTAACAGAGAACTTTACCTTAGAAATACAACAGTTTGTTCTTCAGAGATTCCAAGGACTATGACAGTGCATATTTCAAACAAAGTGTATATTATTTATGGTAATAAGAAACACACAAAGATCATATATATATAAAACAACCGATATGCAACTCCTGGAAAGCAGTCTGCTAATGTGATTTTACTTTTAAAAGCACTTAATGAATTAACTGTCAAGAATTGTCAGTTTTTGCAAGACTCTGGGTGACCTTGACGAAGGACAAAAATTCTGCAGCATCTGGAAGGAGGAGAGATTTTCTGTGGCCGGATACTGAAGTCGTATATTGCCCAGTTCCCCTTTCCTAAAATGTTTTCATCTTGGTTTTAGTTATGGAAATCCTATTGGTGTTAGTCATCATACTGTGAGTCATCCTTTCTAATAATTCTTACATTGCTTGAATAAGAAATGGACTTCCAGGTAAAACATCTTCACTAATCATTCTGTGTAAAGACCGACGGAAAGACTTAGGCCATTCTAACTTTTGTAACCTCAGCGTTCATTTTTCAACAACTATTTTCAGTCTGGTTTGGAGATTTGCCTACTGTCATATCAGATTTTAACTCCACATTCAATCCATTTCAAGTTATGCCTGCGAGATTTTAACTCCACATTCAATCCACTTCAAGTCATATATATTTGCAAGTTATTCTCTGCGTTATTCAGAAATAAGAATAATGAACCCCATACCAAGGTACATCCACTTTGTGGCACCAAGGTGACAACTAATTTATGGAAGAGGCCATTTGAAGAATAAAAAAGAGCTTAGACTGAAGCTCAAAGAGGTTCCTTCCAGAAGGAGTGTCCGCCAGGGAGAGACACAAGAACCTCATTCAATAATCATCTTCTTGATATCGAATGATAATCTCACTTGAGACTTTCCAAGAATTATCTTCAACACCTGTAGCACCTTGCCCTTTGTCACATACATTACTCCTTTCCCCAAACGTGCCTTTTCCTGCTAGGATCCAGATACCTCTTGAAGTGGAAGAACAAATCTAATTTTGCAGTGGTTTCCATAAAGTGATCCTGAAGAAGTAATGGCCATAAGAACAACTCTATCTCTGTGTATGCGACGGATCCCATGCCAAGGTAACTCTTTACTCTCTAGTAAGGGGACAGAGTGGTTTCTCTAACACTCAGGGCCTTAGGTCATTAGGAAGTGCGTAGGCACCAATGTATCATCAGTGACACTTCCATCAACATATGGAAGTGTAACCCAGAGTAACCCAGAATTAGCACAGGCTAGGAAGGACAACAGATCGATGAGGCAGGCGCACTTCTTAAAAGACCCAGGTACAAAATAGCTGTAGACTGCATCTCTTGAGCAATAAGAGGGGAAGCCGGTTACCTTGGCTGTGGTCAGCGTCTTGCAGGTTGTCTGGAAGAACCGAAGGATGCCATCTGCACTCCAAGTCCCTTTGGTTTACTGTTGCAAGAATGCAAACTGTCTTCCCACCCTCCTCCCTCTCCCCCCACCCTCCTCCCTCTCCTCCCACCCCCGCCCCTTCTATCTCATATTCTTTGGAGTGCTCATGATTAAATGCTGCCTTACAGGGAACATGGCCATTTAATAATTGACAAGGCAATCAGAGCCCAGCTGTTCTGGGAGATTACAGCAGAGAGCTTGCCAATGGGGATCTGGGATTAAGCACAAAGAACCAAGGACCTGCAATTTGCAGGGGAAAATTTAAAAAGTAAATGATGGTTTAGTTTCCACTGCCTGCCATTCCTTAGGTGGCTGGTGTGAATGGACTGGGCTTGAATATATGGCAGACATGAAGATATGGTGGGTCACCATTACTGCAGAAGTTTACATTCTCCTGATGGCGGGTTTTCATCCCTTTGAAGAAACTCTGATCTCTGCAATGTCAGGCCCTCATGGAACCTGTACAGGAAATAGCTTCCTTGTTCCATGGGTTGTCTCCACCTTCCAGCTAGAACATTCGAATAAGGACTATTAAGTACCTC